AGGACATTTTTTCATGTATCTTCAGATAGAGTGGGAGGGAGAGAGGGAGGAAGAGAGAGAGAGAAACATCGATGTGAGAGCGACACATCGAGTGGCTGCCACCCGCACGACCCAACCAGGGCCGGGGACAAACTGCAACCGAGGTTCGTGCCCTTAGCGGGAACCGAACCCGGGTCTCTCTGGACCACGGGCCGACACTCCGACCACTGAGCCAAACCGGTCAGGGCTGAATAACACATAACTATTAAGCAGACTGAATGTGTAATTTTAAAACTCCTGAAAAAGTCTCTGGGTCCAGATGGTTTATGGAGAATTCTGCCTGATGTTTACAGAATTAAAACCGATTTTTCACAACCTCTTCCAGGGAACACGAAAGGCGGGAAAACTTCCCAATTAGTTGGATGAAGCTAAGTATGACCCTGACCACAAAAGCAGACAAAGACAGTGCAAAAAAACAACTACGTAGCAATATTCCTCATGAATACAGACACAAAACCCTTCATAAAATACTAGCAATACATTCTGCAACGTTGCAAGAATGAGACACCTTCAGCAAGGGACCCAGGGATGCACCAATGTGACCCACTGTACGAACAGAGGAAATAAGAAACGTCCCAGTGTTACTCAGTTGACCTATTTGTGATCAAAGCTCAGAAGAGAGAGATGGAGGGAAATTTTCTCAACGCAATAAAGAGTCTCTCCAGAACACCCACGGCCAACATGGCACCGAAAGTCCCAGCCAGTGCGATCGGGCAAGAGGAGACATGCAAGACCCACGCGTCAGAAAGGAAAAAGCAAAACTGCCCGTTTGCAGATGGCGTGACCGTCTGCTTAGAAAATCCCAGGAAACCGACAACAAAACGTCCTACAACGAATAAGGAAGCTCAGCAAAGTCACCGTAGACACAGTTCTCCATCCACTAGCGGTGAGCACCCGGAAACCAGTTAAACATTCAATGTCATTTACAATCGCTCAGAAAAAGAAAACTTAGATGAAAGTCGAAGAAAACGTGCACGGACCTCTATGCTGAAAACTACAGAACACGGATGAAAGGACTCAGAGAAAAGCTAAATAAATGAAGATACATATGGCCCTGGCTGCTGTGGTTCAGTTGGTTGGAGCATCGTCCCGCACACCAAAAGCCATAGGTTCGACCCCCGGTCAGGGCACATACCAGGGTTGCGGGTTTGGTCCCCAGGTGGGGTGTGTACAGGAGGCAATGAATCGACGTTTCTCTCTCTCTCTCAAATCAGTGAACATATCCTCGAGGGAGGATTTAAAAATAAATAAAAAAATAAAGATACATGTTTTGTTCGTGGATTGGAAGACTGAACATAGTAAAGGTGTCAAGTCTCCCCAAATTGATATACTTTTAATTCTTTTCCTATTGAAATCCCAGTAGGGTTACCCTAAAATTTATATGGGAAAATAAAGGAAGGAGAACGGCTCCATTGTGGGAGAGGGTGATAAATTTAGGGAAAATCTGTGTACCCCATTGGGAAGCTTACTACATGGCTGCAGTAATCAAGACGGTGTCATACTGGCAGAGAAACAGACACATCATTAAAACATAATTTAAAAATATAAAAACAGGCCCCCACGAATGTGCCCAACTGATTTTTAACAAAGGTTCAGACACAATGTAGTGAGGAGAGTATGGCAAATGGTATTGGAACAACTGGCCTCCATGGACAAAACAAAGCAGGTCTCAACCTAAACCTCACCCCTTACTTACAAACATTAACTCCAAATGTAAAGTAAGCTTGAATGCAAAAGTATACAGCTCTGGGAAAACGCACAGGAGAACATCTTCAGGACCTAGGACACAGGAAAGAGTTCTTAGACGAAACCCCGAGAACACAGGCCATCCGGGAAAACGGATGAAGTGCACCTCATCAACATTAAAAATATTTGCTCTAGGAAAGTCCTGGCTTTTGAGAAGATGGACACATCAGTGACAGACCAGGGGAAAAAAATGCAAACCTCATATCTAGAATTTTTTATATAAAGAACTACGAAAACGTAACATTCAAAAAATTCAACAATGATAGGATAGAAAATGATCCAAAGACACGGAGAGACATGTCACCAAATAAGACATGCAGGCGTGGGAACAGTCCACGTCATCAACCACCAGAGAAATGCAAACTGAGCCACGGTGAGCTAGGCCTGCACACCTCTCAGAAGTGAAACCTGTGACAATACCAAGTGCAGGTGAGGTGTGCAAATGCCAGGGACTTGCAGGTGAGGTGTGCAAATGCAGGGACTTGCAGGTGAGGTGTGTAAATGCAGGGACTTGCAGGTGAGGTGTGTAAATGCCAGGGACTTGCAGGTGAGGTGTGTAAATGCAGGGACTTGCAGGTGAGGTGTGTAAATGCAGGGACTTGCAGGTGAGGTGTGCAAATGCCAGGGACTTGCAGGTGAGGTGTGTAAATGCAGGAACTTGCAGGTGAGGTGTGCAAATGCCAGGGACTTGCAGGTGAGGTGTGCAAATGCAGGGACTTGCAGGTGAGGTGTGCAAATGCAGGGACTTGCAGGTGAGGTGTGTAAATGCCAGGGACTTGCAGGTGAGGTGTGCAAATGCCAGGGACTTGCAGGTGAGGTGTGTAAATTCAGGGACTTGCAGGTGAGGTGTGCAAATGCAGGGACTTGCAGGTGAGGTGTGCAAATGCAGGGACTTGCAGGTGAGGTGTGCAAATGCAGGGACTTGCAGGTGAGGGTGTGCAAATGCAGGGACTTGCAGGTGAGGGTGTGCAAATGCAGGGACTTGCAGGTGAGGGTGTGAAGTGTTACAGTCATTCTGGAGAAAAGCGGGCCAGTTTCTTTTTTTAAAATTACACATGCAACTAGCACTCCGGCGGGAATTGCACTCCTGGGCATTCATCCCATTGAATGGAAAACTTCCGTCCACACAGCAGCCCAGACACAAATGTTCAGAGCAGCTTTATTTTGTAACAGCCAAACCCTGGAGCCCGCCCAGATGTCCCTGGGCAGAGGAACGTTTCAACTACGGTGGTACGTCCATATCGTAGAATATTACTCAGCTATAAACAGGAAGGAACTCTTAACACCTGGAACCATTTGGGTGACTCTCCCAAGAGCTGGGCTGAGTGGAAAGAGCCAGTCCCCAAAGCCACGCACTGTGTGTTCCACCCATGCAACGTTCTCTTAAAAACGTGTATCTCCTCTTCAATTATGGCTTGCTTTCAGTGTTATTTTGTGTTGGTTTCAGGTGTGCAGCATAGTGGTTAGACAGCCATATACTTTGCAAAGTGACCCCTCCCCCCGATATTCCCAGTACCCACCGGGCAATGTACACAGTCATCACAATATCATTGACAATGTTCCCTGGGCTGCACTTTACATCCCCGTGATTTTACATCACGTTCTTGAAATGCAAAGTGATGGGACCGGAGAACAGGTGAGTGGTCACCAGGGGTTAAGAGGGGGAGAGCAGGAGGGACGTGAGTGAGGCCACGAGGGGTCCTGGGTTGGTGGAACCGGTTTTGGTCTGGACTGTGCCAACCTCGATCCCCTGGCTGTGATTTGTACAGTGTTGCGATTGGGGAAAAGTGGGTCAAAGGTACTCGAGATCTCTCCGGATTATTTCTTACAACGCCATGCCAAACCACAACGATCTCAAAACAAGCCTGTTTCATGAAAATAATCCATAGCCAAGAAAGAACTGGAGCAGCAGGAACAAGCTCCCCCACACTTCAGTCGCTGTCTCTCGATGTCAACTGTCGTTGACCTAACGCCATTGTCCCTAGCCCTGAGCCCCACAAGGCTACCCTTGGAGAAACCCTGACTCAATGTATATTATTTCCTTGACTTTGTTTTCTTTGTATCGACTCGCTTCTCCCTAGGTACCTCTATTCAAAGGACAATGCTACATCACTACCATACCACTCACATGGCTACGGCTATACAGTGATCATAACAAAACTACCACTAGACCTATGCAGACCTGCAAGGACCTCTCAGAACAAAACAGACTCCTACGGATGCCCTCACGGGCTCTGCACAAAGTCCTGAACTTGACCATTCCAGGCTAGCCCCGCCATCAGTTAGATCCTTGAGGGGGTGACCCTGCTCCTCGATGGCCAACCCCACCCCGACTTCCCAGTCAAAGGGCAACCTTCACCCTTGTCTTTCTCCAAATCTTCCCATGGGCCCCATGATTCCTGCAGACCCTCGGCGCTTGCTCTAATATTAATATCAGCCTTGTGATCCTAAATGATTGATCTTTCCTGGGGCAATAGAATTGGGGTGGTTAAGAGGCACATTATTTTAAACTGGCCCTGACATGTATACTGCTTTCCCAGTCAGCTGATGTTATCAGTGCTCTAAGTTGCCTGCTGTGCCCGTGGCACTGGGGGCAGACAGCGTCTCCGGGTTCATTCGTGCAGAAAGATTTGCTACGGGAACGGAGACCCATGGCACCTCCCAGAGCGTGGGCTCGGGGCTTATCTGACAGACCCTCCAGCTCTTAGCTATTTTGGATACTGGGAAATGAAATACGTGTACAAACACATGGTCCAGAGTCCATGGTCCGCCGTAAATCTCCCTGAAACCTGCTCCCCTTGGAACTGCTATAAATAATATCTCTATCGAAGATCTTGCTATTTAGAGGCTACCGTACGCTTTGTTTCTCAAGCTCTTGGGTTAATGTAACCAAGTTTTGAATCCATCACACCTTGGGTCTGGTCCAGTCCATCATCGCAGAAGGAAACACTACATCCAGGGCAGTGAGCATCCTCACAGCACAACACGGCGGCGGACCTGGCTCCCGACGCTGTTAGGGTCGCAGTAGATGTTCTGACAGAGCAACGGGGAGCTTAAGCATGCAACAAAGTTGCTAAACTGGCCAGATCCACTTTCATGTAGCATTTCCTTTATAACCACCAGCCGGAAGAGACCTGGATCCTTGGACACAGAGTAACAATAGCTTGTTGTTCACTGACACTCTGTATGCAGACGGGGCACAGCCCGTCACCTACCTTCACGAAGAGCAACGGGTTCCCAGGCAGGGATGTCAGAGTCAAACACAGACGGCTTGGCCTGAAACTGAGGAGACACCCATGGCTTCCGGAAAGACAGGGGGCTGGCCACCCAGAGAGAGGGCTCAGGAGCCCTCCCGCCTGCGGACGGGGTTCTCGCCTCTCTGCTGAGAGGTGGCTGCGGCGTCTCCGCAGGTCCCCACGCTGCGGCCTGCGGCTCAGACAGAGAGCCGGTCCTGCGTCTTAGAAAGGGAAAAAGCAAGAGGATGGCCTCCCATCGCTCGGCCTTTGAGTCACCGCCATGTCTCGCTGAGAAAAAGCACCATTTGGAGCAATCTGGGGGAGACTCAAGCCGAGATGAAACTTGAACCGGCTCAGAAATAGGAAGTAAATTCCTGTCTATACATTTCTTAATGTCACAGCCGCAGCCCATTGAAAACAGGAAGAGGCAGACGCAGAGAAGGAAACAGCAGAGCCACAGCTCACGACGTCAGTGACTATTGGTTCAACCACCCAGAGAGACAGCTGCCTGGGATGGAGGTGCCCCCCACTACATGACACACGAGGGGGCCCGTGCCGGTTGGGGAGAACGCGAGCCTCTGGGGTCACCTTCCTGGTGCAGGGCTGGAAGAAGCATCACAGAGCCTCCGATGGGGGCCTGGAGCTCCCCGAGGGCACACGGTGGCTGGGGGCCTGCGATGCTGTCTTCACTCAAAACGGTGATATTTGATTCCATATGAAATTGTGTGCATTCGTTTTTATTTTGAAGCTATTGCACCAACATATTATCTTGATGACTGAGTTCTGAGTGCCCCTCCATTCTGCTCCCACGATGAGTTCCTCTCTCCCTCCTGAGTCCCTGCTCTGCTCTCTGACTTCAGAAGAGCAAACACGGGGGTGATGGAGAGTGAAAATTATTCCAAACGGTGGAGGCCGAGAGGCAAACCGAAGCTCTAAACCGCAACAGGAGTTCATGGCAGGAAGCGCATTTGGGGCGACACGGCCGAGAGATGCTGGCCGTGCAGACTGGCCCTGCGTTAACCCCTTCAGGCCGATTTCCCGGGGCTCTGAAATGGGCCGTTTTTGTTTCTGTTTTTTCCACCAAGGAGAGAGAGGCTTCTTCACTCTAGTTTGCCACCAATAATACCCCGCTGGTCATAAACCTAAGCCTCGGGTTAGCTAGGTTGGGTTTTGGGGAGATTTCATCTGGCCTGGTGAGCTAGGCTTCGAACCAAACTATGCAGACGCCTGTGGCGTCCACACCTGGTACCTCCACGTCAGGGAGCAGGCACCTCATTAGGGTGCAAGAGGCCACAGGGGCCATGCACCAGAGAACGGGGACTACCCTCCCCCTCCCCGGGACCCCCAGACTCCAGCAACCGAGGAGTGATGCCTGCTAAGCACTGACACCAGCATCCGTTTTGATTTACTGGTACTTGTGCCCCTCCTGCTATTAAGTATTGTAAGAGCCTCCCCCTGGCCACGAGACATATGAACACAGCATTGTGGGAGCCCATAGGAAGAGGATTTGGGGAGCCTTCCTAGAGGAAATAACGGATGAGCCGGGCATTGCAGGATGCATAAGAGTTTGACAGGCAGGAACAGCAGCAAGAGGTAGGCTAGCCCTGGCCGGTGGCAAGTTGGTTGGAGAATTGTCCCAGATACCAAAAGGCTGCGGGTTCCATTCCCAGCTGCAGGTTTGGTCCCCAGGTGGGGCACATACAGGAGGCAAATGACCGATGTTTCTCTCCCCCCCTTCCTCTCTCTCTAAAATCAATTTTGGAAGGAAGGGAGGGAGGGAGGAAGGAAGGAAGAGAGGGAGGCCTGGAAATGCAGTGAGGACGGAGACCTGTGAGCGTCCATGGCCCTGAGGAGGGGAAGGGACTGGAAATGGGGGTGACTGCAGGCCAACAACCCCCCCTGACTCTCATGCCGAAGAGATGGACCTTCCCCGGCGCAGGGGAGCCCGATATCAGGAGCAGGGGCTGTGGGACGGGGCACAGGGGAGCAAGGCTGCCTCAGGGGCTGGGCCCAGGGCCACCCGGGCACAACCACGGATGTCCTCGGAACAATCCGTCTCTTCATCCTGAAAAAGACCTGGGACTTGCCTTTTTCCTCCCAAGATGAAGTCTGAATGCCCTTCCTTCAGACAAATTAATGAAAAAATTTCCTGTACAATAACTTTTTTTTTTTAATCCTCACCCTAGGATATTTTTCTATTTAACATCAGATAGAGCGGGAGGGAAAGAGAGAGAGGGAGAGAGAGAAACATCGACCTGAGAGAGACACATCGACCGGCTGCCTCCCACACAACCTTGACCCTGACTGGGGAAGAACCACAACCAAGGCACGTGCCCTTGACGGGAATCGAACCCATGACTCATTGGTCTGCGGGCCGACGCTCTCGCTGAGCCACACTGGTCAGGGCCTGTCCAAGAACTTCTAAAAACACCTTCGGAGTTGATTGGAAATAAATACCTTGACCGATGTGTGCACACATCTCCATGTGCCGGGACGGCATCCGGGGTCCAAAGGCACGAGGTGCTGCCACCCTCGGAAACGCTCCGTGAAGGAAGCCAGACCCAGCGGCCCCCTGTGACGCCTGCGGGAAGCGCCCCAAAGCAGCAAACCTGTGGACAGGAAGTAGACACGTGGCTGCCCGGGCCTGGGGGCGGGGTGCTGGCGGGTATGGAGTGTATTTGGGGGAGCAGAGAATGCTCTGGAATTCCATAATGGCGACGACCGCACAACCTGGTGACTACACTACGATCCGCCAAAGGCGCAGTTGAAGAGGAGGGAGGTTACAGTGTGTGTTACAGCTCAGCATGATACGTTTCCAAAAGCTCCCTTCCCACTTTTGCCCAGTACCCTGATGTAACTCAACTCTCCAGAGCGGCGGCAGAAAGCCAGTGAGCTAAGCATGTGGCCACAGTCACCAAAGGGAAAGGCATTTCCAAAGAACGGCGGACTTGCTTCCCCGGGCCGTTGATTCCCAAGGACACAAACCAAAGAGCTCCGATCGCTCCCTTGCTGACAGCCGGGCCCCTCTGGCGAAGCTGCAGGCCCTGACGGCTGTTCTCTCCAACGAAGCGGTCTGGGGGGGCCGTGGCAAAGCCCAGGCCGGGCGGGGTCTGGGGGGGCCGTGGCAAAGCCCAGGCCGGGCGGGGTCTGGGGGCCGTGGCAAAGCCCAGGCCGGGCGGGGTCTGGGGGGCCGTGGCAAAGCCCAGGCCGGGCGGGGGCGGCCGCAGCCGGGGCGTCCGGGTGAGGCCAGGAGAAGAGAGGAGCGGGGCCCAGGGGCGACGCCGCACCCCCGCCACCCCCGCAACACACGTTCCCGCGGGGAAGCCGTGCTCAAAGGAGCACCATGACCCCTGCCTTTGGGGTTCAGCCCCCGGAGCCCCCCAGCCCCCAGATGTTCAGCCACTCAGCAGAGGCCACAGGGAGTAGCCGGGGCTGGGTGTGCGGAGGAGCGGAGCAGGGAGCCCGGGGCCCGGGACCTGGCCCGGCCTCACCAGCAGGCAGGGCATCAGAAGCGCCTCCGATGAGTCAAATCGATAGTGACTGCCAGACAAGTCTCTCCAGACGGTCCCCACATCCTGCCGCCTGCCTTTCTCCCCTCCCCCACCCCCAGGGACCCTCTTCAAAGGCTGAATGGGGCCTAGCAGGCGTCACCGTCCCAAAAGCATGTCTCGAGCAAACCAACGACAGCGGGGCAGCTGTGTGCGGGTTTGCTCACTCGGACGCTTGCACGCGCGGTGGGACACGGTGGGTGAAGGGTCAAGACCACGCCGGAGCCATCCAGACGGCCTGCCTGCGTCCCTCGGACACTCTCGGGCATGGACGGCCACAGCATGTCATGTGCTGCGTGACCCCCGTTCTCGGGTTACCTGTCCCTGCACGGTGCCGGGCATGGATTCAGCCCTAGGTCGGCGACTGCTGAGTGGCACACCCATCAACTCCTCTCTCCCTGAGCAAACCTAGGGACCTGCCTGTCAGGCGAGCCTCAGGGGCCCCCAATCCCGGCCGCACACCCCGCGCAGGGGCTTCTCGAGGGCGGGCGGCGGGCGGGGCCCCCTTGCCTGGGGAACACACGCACTTGCATTTTATAAGCCTGTCCCCTCTTCGGGTCCGGTTCCCGCCTCCACACTGTCCTCGTTGTCAACGGGGGTGCAATCCCAGCCCCCAAAAGGAACCCTCCCGGCTGTGTGACATCGAGCATGGCTGTTACTGTAGTTTCGTGCAGACAGACAGACAGCACCTCGCCGGAAGCGTAATCTGCACGAGAACCCCGTGCCGTGGTCAAGTCCTCAAGGCCACTTAAACAATGTTTTTATTTAAGTTCTGATGTCTCCGGCCAGGTTTGGATTATCCATGGTAATGGGGGTCAAGGAGCAGCTGAATAATTGGGATGGAAACTTCGTTTCCACGGGGAGTCTCCCTCACCTTCCTCCTTCCTTCCGCTGAGGACAGAGGCGCTGTGCTGTGGAGGGGCCCTGTGCTGAAAGTCCCCGTCCGGGCCTGGCCAGCACTGTGTCACCAGCTTTCTGGGGCTGGTGAACACGCCCTTCCCTTCGGGGGCTGGGAGGAGGAGGGCTGGACGGACACAGCAGGCCTCGCTCCCCACCGAGAGCCGCGCATCCTCACTGATATTCATAACAGATTTCTTCAGATTGGCTCCTTCTTATCACTTAACTTGCCCCCAGCTGTATGCATAGTTGCTGTGGTCATCATGTACTTTTGTAATCGCCATTGAAATAACTCCCTGCGGATTAACGATTTTAAAAGATACATCAAAAGATACCACCGGCCCCTGGCTTGGATCCTAGAGCAGAAAGGCAAGGGTCACGGGGACACGGCTGGAATCCAGATACAGTCTGGAGTCGGCACAGTGGGGCACGGGCGTCGCTTCCCGGCCATGGCGAGCGTCCTGCACGCGTGCTCGCGGGGGCTGTGGGGCTCCCTGTGCTCACTCTGCGACTGTCCTGCCCACCTGAGAGGTTCCAAAAGGAAACGTTTATTAAACAGAAAAAAGAGTCCCACCTAAAGTTAAAGAAGTAGAAAGGATTTTAAAGAGAGAGAAGGAGGAGAAGAGAGAGGAGGAGGAGGAGGAGGAGGAGGAGAAGCCGGGGCTAGTCCTGTGGGCTCTCCTGACCAGGGGCAGGCTGGGCTCGGGGTGTCTCTGGCCAGAGCGCCGAGAAAAGAGGAGGAAAGACGCCCGTTGTCCTTGCCGTAACCAGCGCGAGCGAGCGGGCGGAGGGCAGAAATGCGCCAGGATGACGTCCCTCTAACTTATAAGAGTTTTTTTCCCAAACTAACTCTGTCCCTTCCCCCTATGCAGCGAAGGCTGTTTGGGAAAATAAATGCCCCCCCACACCCCTTTCTGGAACAGTCCCCATCAGGCTGACGGAGCGGCCCCGGCAAGCTG